AATAACTTTCACTAAGACATAAGCACGCTAGTTGCACTGAGATTTTCAGCTACATTCATATTTTAAATCAACTTGAATTTTGTTTTGCAGTTAAAATGTTAATCTTAAATTATTGTTACAGCTGAGAAAGGATATTTAGTTAAATGCAGAGAAGAGTGGGCAAAGACTAAAGATCCAGCTGCAGCCCTCAAAAAACTGCCTGTAAAAAGGTGTGTGGAAGGACAACTTCTACGTGGACTTTCAAAGTATGGACTGAAGAATATAGTGTCTGCATTTGGCATAGTGAGTGTAAAAAGGTTGAGGTTTTTTGTCTGTGTGTGTTTTGTTTTTGTGGTGTTACACTACATTTTAAATGGACTATGTATAAACCTCTTAAATCCATCCATTCCTCTCCTCTGTGTTCCCTTAAAGTACTGTCCACATTGTTTACTGAGGGGTCCAGACTCAAAATGATGTGCAATGAATAACTTGGGTGTTTCCTATTAATGCACATTGATGGAAGAACAGAATTCTAAATGTAGTTGCATGCTAATATGGAAGCTGTATGGTTATTAAACTCATCTGAATTATATAGGTATCTGTGACTTGTGTGTAAGATTTAAGATCAGATTTTCTTTGTGCCTTTAGAGAATCAAATCAAATTAACAGTGGGGCTAATTAGCCATTGGAATAGGTTGACAAGGTATATGATAGAATTGCCATCACTTTGAAGTCTTGATTTAAAAAAATAAAATTGGATCTTTTCCAAAAATAGTTTTATTTCAGCCTCGGATTACTGGGCTTGACACAGGAATTACTTAGTGAAGTTTCATGGTTTGTGTTATGCAGGATGTCAGACTGAATGGTCTTATCAGTTCCTTAAGACCTACACATCTATGAAAAATAATTAAGTACTGCTTTACAATGTTGAAAATGGGACTCGTGTCTACATCAACAAAACACCTGGCAAACTGTTACACAAAATGAAAATATGAGCTTTTTGTATTGAGTGGATAATGCATACTTCTTTTTTCTCTTTCTTTCCAAGTAAATTCCTCTCAAAATATGACCAGGAGTGTAGCATACAAACCAAACACCTGCATGTTAACTGTGTGACTGGAAAAATGACTTGTTTCAGTGTTTATCCATTAAGTGTGGCTGAGTGGTGAAAGTAACTAAAGATACTTATTATTCAGTTAAACATTTTTCACCTACAGATACCAAGGAATAATCGTTTGATGTATATTCATAGCTATCAGAGTTATATATGGAATAACATGGTGAGCAAGAGAATAGAAGAATATGGACTTAAAGCTGTATCGGGAGACCTTATACTTAAAGGAGGTAAAATAAACTTCAAATTCTTGTCTCTTTGCATGATTTCTTTTTAAACTTTAAAGACTGTTACACCTTTCTTTAGGTAAATTGTGTCAGTAAATGAAGATACAACACAACATTTGCTTCATTCATCTATAGTCAGATACGTTTAAATCAAGAACTTTATTTTTAAATTCAGTTAACAGTAGATGCCTGTGACAGAAAAATGTCACATACCTATGTATTTTAAATAGAAAACTGTTTGAATTGTAGGGACAGCTGTTCATATTGAAGAAGCAGATGTTGATGATTATACTATCCATGATATAGTGATGCCATTACCTGGGTTTGATGTTATATATCCGAAGCATAAAAGTAAGTCTTTTTTTAATTTGCACGATCACTTAAAACTTAATCTGAACTAAGATTTTAAGTAGCTTTAATTTTTTTTTAATATTTCCTTTTCTTGTAGTCGGTGATGCCTACAAGGAAATGTTAGCTGCTGACAACCTTGATATCAGCAACATGAGACATAAAATTCGAGATTATTCATTATCTGGAGCATATAGAAAAATCATAATTCGACCCCAGAATGTCAGATGGTAAGTAATAGTATACAGCTAAATTCCCTGTAAGCTGTGCAGCAGTCTATTTAGTACCGCGCAGGCGCTCAGGGAACCCGCCCCGGGACCAGCTGGGAGAGGGGTGCCCCTCCCCCAGCCCCAAGCTAGCCCGGCCTGCGGGTGGCTGGGGTGGCCCAGACCTGCTGCGGCCAGGGCACCCCAGCCTGGACTGGACAGGGCTGGGGGAGGGGCGCCTATCCTGCAGCCCCAGAGCTGCTGCAGCAGGGAGAGGCACCCCTCCCTCTCCCCCCCGCAGCCTAGGTGCTGCTGAGGGGAGAGCGAGCTGGGGGGAGTCCTCTCTCCCCACAGGAGCACCCCCCTGCACCCCAAACGACACCTCAGAGCCCACACCCCCAGCCGGAGCCCTCACACCCCTGCACCCCAACTCTCTTCCTCAGCCCTGAGCCCCTCCTCCCTTGCCCCACCCCAGAGCCCGCACTCGCAGCCAGGGCCCTCCCCCGTCCCCCCGCACCAACCCTCTACCTGAGCCCCCTCCCACACTCCGAACCCGTTGGCCCCATGCTCGCCACATGTATTTTGTTATGGGCACCAATATGAAGGTCATGTGTCACGCATCACCTCCATATTGGTGCACATAAAATTTATTCCGCAGATGGGTGGGAAAAATTACAGGGAACACTGGATACAGTGAAATGTATTTGGAAATAATAGGATGTCTCCAGAATACATGCAGGAGGACTGGTGAGCTGGTGAGCATTGGTCTCATGTATAGCTAGGCCATGATCAATACTAGTTTGTAGGCAGGAGCAGTAAATACAGATCTTTGTACCACACACACACTATGCACAGACCAGTAAGGCATAGGCCCCACTGCTTCACTGGTCCCCTGGCTCTGATCTGCTGTGGAGCACTGTGTACTAACACTCGAGATACTGTGGATTCTTCTTTGAGTGATGGTCCCCATTGTATTCCACTGAGGGTTATGCGCATCCCCCTACACACAGCATAAATGCAGAGGTGAAAGTAAGCCGGTCCAGTCCAGCGTACCGGCAAGAGCCAGTACGCTGGACCGGCTTCTGCGGCGGTGATTTAAAGGGCCCAGTGCTCCATCCACAGCGGCAGGAGCTCCGGGCCCTTTAAATCCCCGCCCGAGCCCAGCTGCCGGAGCTCTGGCGGGGATTTAAAGGCCCTGGGGCTCCCAGTCACAGCCGGAGCCCCAGGGCCTTTAAATCTTGAGAGGCCCCGCCTCTTCCGGTTGAGGCCACGCCCCCGCTCAGGACTCCGGCAGTACCGGTAAGTACTTTAAGTTACTTTCACCCCTGCATAAATGTGACATTTCCCACTGTACTTCGAGCCTAGGATGCCCACAGGAAGGTAGACGAGCAGGATTTGGTCCTGATACATTTTAGCAAGCGACTCTTTTTGCATCTTCAGTCAAGGAATTAAAATAAAATACAATGTTCTGAATATGAGAAAAGTAAAATTATTGACCAGGAATGTGACTATTTTAGACTTGCCCAAGATAATCTGTAGACAGTAAATCATGTAGATTAATATTTACAACCAAAAAAACCTGGTGTGTGTGTGTGGGGGGGGGATTTTGTTTTTTAATCTGAGCAATTTATTTTGAGGAAAAGTTAGTCTCAACCTCTTTCTTAGATTGGCATATGAACAAAAAGTATATGAAAGGTTCAGTTGTTTACACATTATTATGAATTATGGTTTATCTATTAAATCCCTATTATTGTAGCATGTACAGACCAGAACCAGGATCAGTGCCCTCTTATGCTAGGTACTATACGAAACAGGCAGACATGATCTCTGAAGAGCTTCTGGTCTAAGAGGATGAGAACTATAAGCAGGGTTTGGGATGGGGGCAATTAAAAGATTGCTCTTCAGAGTAGCCATTATACACGACTTCCTCTGATGTGCTGGAGAGGAAAAATAGAGTATGTACTTAAACCAGCCATGAAGAAGTTCAGATACTTCTGATTGTTGTAGAACTCTATTTTTTTTTAGTTGGCATAGTTCTTTCCATCCACTAATAACCATGTTTATTGTGTAATTAGAAATCTTGACAAAGCCTGTGATGTGGAGAGAAACGTTACCAACTAGCATATGTGTTCGCATTAAATCTTTTGTCTGTGTCCATCAGTGGTAGGTTTTATTCACAAAAAACAACTTGTGTTTCATCAGAAAATCAGCCTCTCTCATGTGGTATCTCTCTTTAATCTAGATATAAAAAACTTGTAATTGTTGAGTATGACATTCCGGGGTCCAATCTAGACCAGTGAGGGACTGTCACCGTAGCCCTGCAACCTGGGGTGCCTCACAATGCTTTGCTGCTGTAGCTCCCAACCTGGGCCCCTTACAAACAGCCAAACAGCATGCAGGTCACAGTCTGAGTCTCTCTGTATAGCTGCAGCCTGCCAGCACACTCCAGTCTCACACTGGTTACCACTCGCAGGGTGACCCCAACACACTCCCAGTCCCAAATTCCCCCCCCTTCCCCCAATTGGTGTCCTGCACTGTCCAGCCCTCTCCTAGACAGTTTTAGGTCCGTTGCCCCCTAAGGGGATCAAGATCAAACTCCAATATTAAATGGAGTTACCCACACAATTTAGTTTAAATACAACACTGGATTCGTTTTGATTTAAAGAATACAAAATTTATTTAACTACAAAGAGAAAGTTTTAAGCGAGTACAAATATAAGGCATTAGAGTCAGAAATGGTTACAAGAGAAATAAGCATATAATGTTTTCTAGTAACTAAAACGTAACAAACTAGACTTGGTTCAAGGTGAAATCCCTTACCACATGTTCCCAGTAACATTGCTGACCAAATTCTCAGGCCAGGATCTGCTCCCAGTGTCAAAAGCCTGTTTCTTTTGTCATCTTAGGTGAAAGTGGGAGAGATACCTTGGGCTGTTTTTTTGCCCATCACTTTTATAGTCTAGTTCCCCTCTGAAATGCATGGTCTTGAGGGTTACTCCTAGATAAAGTTCATTCATGCTGTGAGGACAAAGACAAGGAGTCTCATGGTGAAAGAGGTTCCATGCTATTGTTTGCTAAAATGCAGATCAGTTTGTTGCTCTCCCACTTTCCAAAGTATAGCCACTTGACAGGTGATTGCCCATCAACTTTGACACCTGGTTTGAGGTGTCAGCTTGTCTTTTGTCTTTGAGAAACTGGTTCACTCTGACTTGTCTGGTAAACATATTTCAGACCTAATTTCAATTTGTTTATAACTTTACATATAATGTTGCTATGCACATTTCATCATGATATTATTGACTAGTGAGTTATTAGTTTTCAAATGATACCTCATAATATTTTGTACAAAGATTATTACAATAGTGTATAGGGTGTGAATACAGGGGTGCATTCGGTCACACTGAGTATTTTAAAAAACTTATCCTGTGTTTCATAAAGGGAGGTGGTTGCATATGATGATCCTAGAATTCCATTATTTAATACGGATTTGGATAAGCTGGAAGGAAAACCACCACCTATTCTTGCTACAGGTAAGAGTAACAACTTTTCTGCAGGTGTTTATACACTGTAAACAATAAAGTTTGACCTAACTACTGCTTTGAAGTTGTAACTGCTCCACATCACACATATTGAATGTAAAAATAAATAAAAAGGTTACATTTGACAAAACATCAAGCTAAAATGTTCAAAAGGATGTGCTTAAAATTAGGCTCCTATATAAGTAACCTGATTTTTCAAAAGTGCAAGCTTTTGCTCAGCAGATCATATTGACTACATTATACTCTGTGTCTAGCTGTCTACAGAATCAAATGAGCATATTTAAGTGCTTCACTGAAGAGGGACAGACATAGGCCATAATTCAGCAAAGCACTTGACCATGTGCTTGACTTCAAGCATGTGAATATTCACCTTCAACTTAATTGGGACTACTTATGTGTTTAATTGAAGTTCAGTGGGAGACTGATGTTTTAAGTGCATGCTTTAGTGTTTTGCTTAACTGGGGCTCAAATTACAACTGAGAAAATGTTTAAAATAGGATTGATGACATGTTAGCAGAACAGCATCAGAAATATTATTTGTTAAAACTGGTATTAGTAAGTGTAATATTTGTTTCTAGGAGAATTAGTATAGCTTAAAAGTTTAAGAACTTTTAACATGTCAGGATTGTGTGATGGAAACTTTTGAATAAAGTACACAGCCAACTATAACGTATAGGCCTTACTACTTTACAATCCAGGGTTGTAGGAGGAGAGGAAGGCAGTCTTGAAATACTGAATTTTTGTGTGACTAAAAGCTTTTTTTTTTTTGTTTTTTTGTTTTTTTGTTTTAAATAAAATTTGCTACATAAATAGTGAAACTTTACTTTTCCCATTGTGGGCAAACTCCATGTCTCACATCTGCCACATATGTGAAAGTTGTAGCATGAATTGACATTTCACATTTCCATGGTTGATCAATTAATTTTTGATTTCTTTAATTGTGTGAGCCCTTCAGCCCAATTTAAATAATGCCCAGAGGAGGTATAACTTAGAGAATTTTTCACTTGACCAGAGCTCAGAGTATGTGCCAATTAATCTTTTCTTTATGTAATAGAAGGTAAATTCAAGGCCTTGAAGATGGAATTCTCTCTTCCTCCATCCACTTACGCTACCATGGCAATTAGAGAAGTGCTAAAAATGGACACAAGCATAAAAAAACAGACACAACTGAATACTATATGGCTACGCTGAACAAATGCTCTAAAGTCATGTAAAGATTTTAAGATGTAAAAGTGTTTTTTCATATTTACTTGTTCTGTGCAAACCCTAGTTTTGATTTTGAAGATTTGTAGTAAAAGATTTGTATTTTTTTAAGTTGTTTTTATTAGCTTCAATGATTATATGCAAAATGGTGTTAGTAAAAATAATAAAAAATTTGATTGGGGTTTTTTAAATGACCTTAGTAAATAAGGTGGAAAACCACATCTTAAGAAAAAAGGGTCTTAGGACAGCAATTCCAGATCTTCAGTAATTGCCTTTCCAGAAGTACAGTGAGTATTCAACATGCTTTCATGAATTCAGCACAGGATAAAATTTCTTGCAAGTGTGCTAACATTACAGATCAGGAATGCTAATTAGAGTAAGTTAGGCGATGAATATTTATATTAAAGGAGTACATTTATGTCGCCTTAGAAGGCCAATAGCTTTTGCACTGATGTGGTAGAGGATTCTATTGGCAGAATTTTTCATGCCTTTTATGTGATATAAACATGTACATCTGTTTTTATTAGTTGAACTGTACATTTTATTATGAAAATGTTTATGTGCATTTTTCCCATCTTTACTATTACCTGTACCAAAGAACAGGTAATGAAAACAAGTTAACCAAAAAGCCCAGATGAGAGCTTGTATCAACAACTAACTCCTTTGCACCAGCATATTTAGTGTGTCCATTGCTGGCAATGGATGAGCAAGGCAATCTGTATCATGGCATGAAAGGATTAAAAAGCCATTTGAAAACAATTGACAGCAGTTAGGTTGCATTTTGACTTTATAATTTCTAAAACCAAACAAATAAGAAACCTGTTTGTGCTGCTTGTGTTAATAAATCATGTTAAATATGAGACACTTTGCACTGTCATTTTTATAAAAAATTGAATAGGGTTTTGCATACCAACAATATGAAAATTTCAGTATCTCACTTTTAGAAAATAGGCAGTGTTGCCTCCCACATATCCCGAGCGAACCTGCTTCAATACAGAAATAAAAACCCCTCTGATCACAAACCTCTAGTTATCACCTACCACTGGAATCCATATGGGGTATCATTAAAGAAATATTTCCTGAACCCCCTCTTCTGGCCTTCAAATAACCCCCTAACCTCTCCAAGCTCATCATCCGAAACAAGGTCCCCACAAATCAGGATACACCAACTCAAAAGCACTAGACCCTAACAGAGCAACAGATTCAAACCCTGCAGACATATCTCCACTGCTACAATGGTCAACATCCTCCACAACACACCTTTCAAGATCTATGGGTCCTACATATGCCTGTCACAACATGGGGTGTACCTCATCCTTTGCACTAAATGCCCTAATAGAACTATGTAGGTCAGTAGGTCTCAACCTATTTATCATTGTGGGTGACATATGCAGCCGTTTTATGTGGGCCCCATCCATGCCATCAATGTGCTACCTGTATGGCCCTGAGGATGTCACATGGGCTGCAGCTGTGTGCTGATTGGGCCACAAGCGGCCCATGGGCCTTGGGTTGAGAACCACTGATGTAGGTGAAATGAGACAATCACTACGCTCTTGAATGAAGTCAAACAGGAAAATGATAAAAGACAAAAACACCACATCACCTGTAGGTGAACACTTTTCACAAAACAATCACTCTATATCTCACCTGTCAGTCCTCACCTCAAAGGAAACCTGCACAAAACACTCAAAAGATAAGCCTGAGAGCTTAAATTCATAATTTTGCTAGACAGTAAAAATCATGGACTGAATAGAGACACGAGTTAGGAATAGAATCAACTAAGTCTCTGTCCTCTGATGCTATGCAATATTTCAATTGCTTTCAATTGGCCATTCTTGTATGTAGGGAGAGTACTTTACCTTAATGCTGTTTTCCTGTTTTGTTGAGTTATACAGAGGTTTACAATGCAAACACTCAATATACATTTATACCCTGGGTTATAGAGATTATAAATTAGATTAATACATGCAGCATCCTACAAGCATTTTATAAAGTCTAAACAGCATCTGAGGATGCTAACACATGAGTAAACAAGCCTGTTTCCAGCTATGCAATTGTAACTGTTCAGTGAGGCCTGGGGCCTTGGCATGAGCTGGTACCTGATCTGCCAGCGTCACAGTACCTGTAAAAATTAATATAAACATTTTTTTTCTTCCTCTCGGGTGTAAGGAGCATTGACTCTGCTCATATATCTCAGCCTGTCTTGAAATATGTTTTTTATTGCAGAAATTTAGGTAATGCATTTGATTCATATTTATATGCCAGTTTAGGCTTTTATACCATCAGTGTGTAGATCTGTTATGACAAATATTCTTGACCTAAATTGGTCACTGGAAAATTAACTGTCAGCTTTATATTGATACCTTTTTTTCTCTCTCTCAGGAAAGACCATTTTGTTTCTTCACATTTTTTTCAGATCAGGAGATCATTAAAATAATAAATGCATTTTTTAAATGTGGTAGCTTATGAGTTTATTTCATTATCTTCAGTCATATTTATCCCATTCTGCTACTTTACATATATTAATGACAACATTTAAAAGTATGGTTGTCTAAAGTTAAGCGTCCTAAGTAGCCTGATTTCTCAGTTGCTGGTTACCCAGAATTGCCTATGTAGACAATGGGAAATGAGGGAACTCTGCCATTATTGATCCAGCCAAACTGAAAATAGATCTATTCTGCTAGTCCTGTACAAATAATAGTAAACAAATCTAAATCCAAAATAAGTATTTAAAATATAGGGTATTAATCTGTCCTAGACTAAATTATTAGAGGGCAGATTCTCCACCCTGCCCATTTTTTTCATTGTGTCGTGGACTGGCTCCAGAAGACTCTTACAGCTCTCTTAACCTCAGCAGTGGAGCAGTTTAATTTACTACTGTGGTGAAACAGGCATATTGGGGCTCCACTTCACGCACCCCCTTCCTTCACTTGCTAAGCTGACTCTGCCCTCTGCATGAGAACCATCTGCTAGCATTCTCTATATACTCCCTCTAGCCATTCTGAGGCCACTTTGTGACACTTCCACCATGCACAGTGGCTGCAATGAACTGGAGAATCTGAGTCTTAAAACTTTCAGCTATTTTCTGCTCATAAAGGTCCCATATACCATGTGGTCTCTTGCTGTTTTACCTCTTTCTGGAGCCTGTTTTTTCCCCTCCTCCCCCACCTATTGTTGCATTTTGATGTGCTGGATCTGGAGGTAGTGCAGATCCTTTTGGATGCCAGGTGAGTTCCTTGGGTCTGGAAGAATCTGTTTTTTATATTATTTTTGGCTCCTCTGTGTGCCAAGTCCTCTGTGGTAAATATAGAGAACCCAGCTGTGCCTCAGTTTCCTGCCCTTGCACGGAGAATTGCACCCACCCTTTTCTGAAAACATAAGAATAGCTATACTGGGTCAGACCAATGGTCCATCTAGCTCAGCGTCCTGTCTTCCAACAAGGCCTGTGCCTGATGTTTCAAAGGGAATGACCAGAACAGGGCAATTTACTGAGTGATCCATCCCATCATTTAGTCCCAACTTTTGGCACTCAGAGGTTTATAGACACCCAGAGCATGGGGATGTGTCCCTGACCATCTTGGCTAATAGCCACTGATGTACCCATCCTGCACGAACTTACCTATTGTTTGTGGTGAGCTGGAGCCGGGAACCGGTTGTTAAATTTAGAAGCCCTTTTAGAACCGGTTGTCCCGGTTCTAAAAGGGCTTTTAAATTTAACAAAATCTCTGGCAGCTCCCTGCCCTGCCCCCGGCCCCAGCTCACCTAGCTCCGCCTCCTCCCCTGACGCTCCCCCGGCTTCTCCTCCCCCTCCCCTGCTTCGGGGCTTCCTGCACGTGGGCGGGGGTGGGGCGCGAGGAGGGCTCTAGGCGCCGCGCGGCGCTCCCCGACTCCGGCCGCGCAGAAGCAACCTTTAGCCGCGCGCATGCGCTTTCTTCTGTGGCAGGGATGGCATCACGTGATCCTGATGGGTGGGACAGAGCCGAGGGTACGTTACAGTCTCCCTCTTTCCTCCCACTTCTCGCGGGACTCGGAGCAACTTCGGGATTTTCCGTTGCGCTGGGCTGGCAGGTGGCAGAGCTGAGGGGGCGGGGCAGAGCCCCAGGCGCTCGGCGGGGGGTGAATAATTCGCGTCCGTTTCTGCCGTAACGGTAAGCGGCCTCGTTCAGCCCAGGCCGGCCGCTGGTGCCCGCTCCCGACGCCGGCGTGTGAGGGGCCTCAGCTCGCGGCAGGCTGAGCGGGGTGCGGGGGGGGCCTACCAAGGAGAGGGACTGGCTGCTAGGTGCCATGGCAACGCTAACAGTGTGTGGGGCCTAGGCGACTGCGGCAGGCAGGCTGAGGAGACCCCGGGACTCCCTCGGGCGCAGGGGTCCAGCCTGCTGCTGGCTGCGGAGATCTGTTCCCCCGTCTGCCCCGCTCTGTGGTGGGGGCTGAGGGGTGAGCAACCGCCTCGCCTGCTGCAGGGGGAGGAGCAGCTCCCCCCAGGTGAGCAGTAGGTGGGGAGATAGTGGTCCCCAGGGATGCTGTGGGCTGTCTTGGGGAGCTAGGGTTGCCAACTGTCTAATTGCACAAACCCAAACATCCTGCCCCTCCCCAAGGCCACATCCCTGCCCTGCCCCTTCGCCGATGCCCTGTCCCCACCCACTCCAGCCTCCCACCCTCTTCCTCACCTTCACTGGGCTGGGGCTGGGGTGTGGAAGGGGGCTGGGGCGGGTTGGGGGGGCAGACTGTGGGAAGGAGTTTGGGTGCAGGAGGGGGCTCAGGGCTGGGGTGCGGGCTGTGAGAGGGAGTTTGGGTGTAAGAGGGTGCTGGGGCAGGGGGTTGCAGTGCGGGAGGGGTACAGGCTCTGCCCGGGCGGCGCTTACCTCTTGGAAGCGGCAGCATGTGCGGCAGTGGCTCCTAGGCTTACGGGTGGCCAGGCGGCTCTGTGGGCTGCTCCTACTTGCAAGCACCGCCCCTGCAGTTCCCATTGGTTGCGGTCCCCCATTCCTGGCAATGGGCGCTGCGGAGTCAGTGCTCGGGGGGTGGGAGAGAGACCCCCCCCGTCCGCACCTCCTCCTAGGAGCCGCTGCCGGACATGTTGCTGTGTCTGGGAGTGGCTTTAGCCCTGCTGCAACGCTGGACTTTAGCTGCCTAAAATCTCCCGAATTGGCTTCAGTAGCCGCCAGGAGATTGAGCCCAATTCTGGGAGACTCCCAGCCAAACAGGGAGGGTTGGCAACCCTACGGGTGGCATGGCACATCCTGATTTTGCTTGAACTTCTCTGTTAGCAATAGGTTGTTATGACTTGCTAAGGGCTTATCTAAGTTATGTTGCTTAAGGGTGTAAAAAAACTGCCTCCCCCTCCGAGCGTAACTTACATTGACTTAAAGCAGTGTCAGCAACGCCCTATGTTGACGGGAGAGTATCTCCCGTAGACATAGCTTCTGCCTCTCATTGAAGTGGAGTAATTAAGTTGACAGCTGATTTAGCACGTCTTCACCACACATGCTAAATCGACTGCAGTGTTGGCCAGTTTAGCGTGGTAGTGAAGACAAGCCCTGAGACTGGCCTATGTTGCTTAGCTCAACATCATACATTGTACACTAGGGCAGTGGTTCTCAACCAGGGGTCTGGAGCCCACTGGGGGCTGCGAGTAGGTTTCAGGGGGTCTGCCAAGCAGAGCTGGCATTAGACCTGCTGGGGCCCAGTGCAGAAAGCCAAAGCCCCACCACTTGGGGTGGAAGCCCAGGGCTCCAAGTCTCGCCACCCGGGGCTGAAGCTTGAGCAACTTAGCTTCGCAAGGCCCCTGTGGCATGGGGTGCTGGGCAGTTGCACTGCTTGTTATCCCTTAATGCTGGCCCTGGCTTTTGTATGCAGAAAAACAGTTGTGGCACAGGTGGCCTGTGGAGTTTTTATAGCATTGGGGGGGGCTCAGAAAGAAAAAGGTTGAGAACCTCTGCACTAGGGGAGTGTAAATACCCTGGGCCTCATAGTCCTGAGTCCAGAAGACAGTGCTTTCTTTGGCCTGGTCCAAGATGGTGACATTTTGTTTTGAGTGAAAGGTGCACTTCTTCGACTTGCTTTTACTATTATGCCCATAGCACAGGGTGGTGGTGGTGTAGTTTTATATGTATTATTTAATGTCTACTAGTCCTAGTCATGGACCTGGCTGCTATTATGCTAGGTGTTACACAAATGCAGAATAAAAAGATAGACCCATGGCTTTTGGGGGAAGGGATTTTAAGTATAAGATAAACAGTAGATGGACAGGGGACTGCAAGGGAACATTGAGACAGTATTGGTCAGCATGATAGGCATTGGTCTCAACAGACCAGCAGCCTAACGGTGGTCAATTTTTTGTAGTCCTCATAGCAGGTGAGAATTTGAAGGAGAATAAATAGTTTTGCAGATGTTTGTCTATGTACAATAAAATATTTTTAAAAAATACAATTTCTCCTTGGAGGCCCACCACATATGACAGATGTTAGTCACGACAGACATTAGTCATGGTGCTCAGTGCACTTCTGAAAGATGCTCAGATAGTTTGGTGATAAGGGCCATATGAGAGCATGAATAGAATATTTACTGTAACTCAGTTTCTTAAGCCAGTAGTTTATTAATAATCCTTCCCTAAGGAAAAAATCCTCTCTCTTCGAGAGTCTTTATGTGTAACATAGAACCCCTTTCATTTTTGATGTGGGCAACAAGCAATGAAGGTGCAAATCTCTTAGTAAATTACTAATAGATTCATAGAAATGGGATACTACCTTGAAATGTAGTTCATTGGAAAAAAATGTAAGGAATGTCAGTTCCTACACCTTCCCTTGATTTACCTGCCAATTTTTATGGTGTTACAAGTACATTTTCCTACTTTTAAAAGATTTTTCTCTTTTGCCTGTTGCTGTGTGCGGGACCCACACATAAAAGGAAACAAGAAATAATTGAATACACAGAACACTGTCAACTACACAAGGTAAACTGGAACGAGATATTTCGTTAATCTCTTTCATGTGTTTGTTATTAAAAGAGTAAAAATTTTCAAACGGAAATAATTTCTTAAATTGGTAGTGTTCCTTTAACTGCTTGTTCATATAGTTTTAAATCTGCTTTTTGATGTTGGAATGATAACTTGCTTCAGAGTTCAGATAAAGTTTTAAAAGCATATTAATGCATTTAAAACTTATTTTAATTTTTGAAGATGGTTGGATCGGGGAGTTGGATCTTAATCTGATCAAACACTTAACTAATTTGATTTTATTTTCTTCACATATCTATATCCTCCCAGTTCCTGACTTTCCTGGCCACTGACAAAGCTGTAGGCCAGGAGGTGCTGCTTCCAAAGCAAAGATTTAAGATGATCAGCTCATTTCAGCACATTTGATAATTTATGGGAATTTTCTTCTTTTGTATGTCTCTGAAATGCTGTCTGTCAACACATCATTGGGGGGGAGGGATAGCTCAGTGGTTTGAGCATTGGCCTGCTAAACCCAGGGTTGTGAGTTCAATCCTTGAGGGGGCCACTTAGGGATCTGGGGCAAAATTAGTACTTGGTCCTGCTAGTGAAGGTAGGGGGCTGGACTCAATGACCTTTCAAGGTCCCTTCCAGTTCTAGGAGATAGGATATCTCCATCATGTGCTGCTTTGTGTGCAGTTTGCCACTGTATACTTTGCTAGTGATGGCATACCTGCCATTTAAAAGTGCTGGAGCCTTTTTACTACCTGTAGGGCTGAGGCAAGTCCTCTGTACATTTTCAAGTATTTTTATATATACCATCTAGCACAGACATAAAAACATTGAATTAGTTTTAGAAAAATGTATGGTAGTGGAAATGAAAGCTGACTGACTTCTCTGGGTAGCAGACATGTTTCAGTTCTGTTGAGTGATGGGCACGATGTCCCCAGCAGAGTGTATAATAGTGTGTCATACTTTGCATACGTAGGCCCTGGTTCTCCAAAGGCTTATGCATGTGGCTATCTTTATGCATGTGAGTAGTTGAATGGAACATAGTATTTTCAGTTGCCCCATTCCACATGAAGGTCCATGGTAGTTGATAGTGCTGTGTGGGTGGTGGCTAACTACAGACTCTTTAACTCAGTTCTGCAGGTGATGAAAACATGGCAGCCATTAATGTTGGAAGGGAACAAGTCACTAGAGACCCAGATCGCTGTGACATCCCTTACTATGTAGCTGAATTTGTTGAAAGAGAAGTTGGAACTGACCTTAATTGTCTAAGGAAACTTGGCAAACTTATAGAGGAGCTATCAGAAAATAAAAAGCAATTAGAGGAACAGGTAAGCATTCTGTTAGTTATTTCTCAACTCCTTGAAATATTAAAAATATACCACCAATTGCATGCATCTAATTACATCAGCATATTTTGATAACATCCTACACAATGTTGTAAGCTAAGCTGTCATTTTCTGATTTTCTGTTACGCTTTACTATGCACGGAGATCTGTAAAAGATCACATTTGTTTAATCATTGAAAGAGGGGTCTTAGTACTTATATGTCAGATGTATTACTCCTCCCTAAATACAGGTACTTACAGTTTCATCAGAAGTCCCCAAAAGAATTCAGAATGCCTTAAAGAGTGCAGAGGATTCTAAGAAGTCTCTTAGTCAGCTCCTGGAGGAAGAAACTGTTTTATTTGATTCAATTAATAGCCACCTATTGACAGCCCAGCCATGGATGGAGGATCTTGGTGTACTGATTAGTCAAATAGAAGAGGTTGAACGACACCTTGCTTATCTAAAATGGATTTCACAAATAGAAGAGTTAAGGTAAAATAGGCCCACCTGGACTTCTAAGTATCTTTTTCCTGCAGTCTTGTTTAGGGCTTAGGTGGTAATAAACAAATTTGAGACACTTTTGGAGTTATAAATCTATATTTTTAAATGCAAACAGTTATAACCATTGTTAATTCACCTACTGACTAAAAATTCATACCTAATTTTGATCTGCCATTGCTTTCATTTGCAACTAAATTTGGTGATTACTATATTTTGGATATGGGGATAAAAGGGATCGTAGCTTACCATGTAATCTGAAAGATGCACCTCTAATAGCGTTTGTCAGCGTTAGATAGTGAAGATACAGGATTTATATATTTTTTTGACACATAACTGTACAGAGTCTAATAATACTGAAAGAAGGTGTTTGAGCAGAAAAAGATGCATTTGCATTATGTAGGTTGACATCTCTTTATTTTTATCGTTTTGGTGAGAATAAAACATTTATCTAAAAAGTTATTTAAATGAGTTGCACTGCAGATTTGAAAACACTTAGTTTCTCATCAAGAGCTATCCTCTTGTTCTTCAGTAGTGCACCCTCAACATAGGTAGCAAGAGGCATGGACCAGAAATCTAGGTATCTCAGGTAGCAGTGCACAGCACTAACTGCAAGGTCACCTAGCTGCCGACCTGTAAAATATTTTATATTAACCCCCCCTCCCCAATTGCTTTATTCACTTTCATTATACAGTAAGACAGGTAAATAATGAACTATTCTCAGTGTTGCTAAAAATTGCCTCAGTGCATTCCAGTCATGATTTTGCTTTATATATTTTATAGTGATAATATTCAGCAGTATCTCATGACCAACAATGTGCCAGAGGCAGCTACTACTCTGGCATCCATGGCAGAATTGGATATTAAGCTTCAGGAGTCGTCTTGTTCTCATCTTCTTACTTTTGTGAGGTCTACTGTTAAGTTCTGGCATAAAATTCTTAAGGACAAACTGTCAAGGTAGGAAATGCACCATAGTTCTTTCATCTTTGCATTGTATTGTTGATTCATGTTGATGTATATGTTTTCTATTACAGCGATTTTGAGGAAATATTAACTCACCTTCATTGGCCATTTGTTGGGCCACCACAGTCTCAGGTTTTTGGCCTTGCTGCACCGGCTAATGTTCCAGAAATATATAATAATTTGGAGACTCTGTTTTCTCAGCTTCTGAAATTGCAAACATCGTATCCTTTTTGAATTAATGTCTTATATTCACAGGGAATTTCAGTAAGAATAATGAACAAACTTAAGAGATGCACACTCCAAAGAAGAAATGTGTGATAGTCATCCAGTGTACTGATTATTTTAAATCATTGTTAAGCTGGACATTTCTCACTAAGGGTGAAGTAGGTTTGCGGGTTTAGTATTTCTATGTTAATTTTTTTTTTAATAAAACAAGTAAGTGCCCAGTTAACAATACTAGAAATTGTTTGCTAGTAGAAAAAGTGTAGCTTTGGCAGCAGCAATGCTGTGCCAACCACGATTCTAGTGGACTCACATCTGGGGAAGTGAGGAAGATAGTTTAAACTTCATGCTATTCAGTCCTTGGGCCCTCTGGCAAGATTACCCACAAAGGTGAAAATTGTGGTGGTACATTTGCCTGTTCCCTGGAACTGGACTGAGACCACTAATATTTTTCACATAAGCCATTGAGCAGCCCTCAGATGGTAAAAACAGATTTTGATCTCTGCCAGTTTGGGTCACATACAAATCAGAGACTAAGAAGCTCTTGTTTTGCATTACTAATAATCTGAGTTTCTGCTTCTCCATTTCAGTATAGTATGTGTGTCTGTGTGTGTCTCTATGGGAGGATAGGACAACCCACATTTGTCTTGGCAATCCTGACTAGAGGTGATTTTTTTTGTAAACCAAATTGACTGACTGCTGCTATCCCAAATCAGTCGTAATCAGCCTGTTATATTGAACACAAGTTTAATGTTGAAGTATTCTAAATATAGAAATAGTTTTCATTGCAGGTTTTTGATAATTTTATAGTATGTGTAGTGACTGCAGTAAAGAAAGGGGACTATAGAAATGGAATGTAACATTTCTTAGCTGTTTCAAGTTATGATGTTGAGAATTCAGTACTTCTATAACAATGATCTACCAATAAAATATTTTACCTTTGACTCTTAAACCTTAGAGATGAATTACTAACTAAACCAAAACAACTGCCAGAGAAGTATTCTCTGCCTCCATCACCACCTATTATCCTTCCAATGCAAATCATGCTGAACTCTCTTCAGAAAAGATTCAAGTATCATTTTACTGGGAATAGACAAACTAATATTTTAAGCAAGGTATGGGGAAAACATTTCTTGATTTACTTTTAATTGCAGTACTTAACAAAAAAAACCCAACCCTTTTTATATAAAACATACATTGCTGTAGTAAAGTTGTGGCCAAAATATTGCTCTCTGCATGGAGGACCTTGAGCTTGTATGTGTATGGAGGTGAAAAAACACTTGAAGACCCTCCACAAGTCCTACCCCCTGCTTGGCAAAGTGCTGCACTGCAGAGATTCCCTGGCAATGGGATATTCCTCCGTTGCACCTGCCAAATCCCTTTGTTGGGGCGGGGGGCACTGAAGCCGGTCCTATTGCAGCCTTGGGTAGACTCCACAGCCTGAGAAGGATGGAATCATTTCTCTTCGTCCCTATGGAAAATCCCTTTTACCAGTCCTGGCTACTTAAGTTTGTGTGTAAAAGGGAGTGAATTTGGTCATGTGATAGCATTTTTATTATTCCTATATTTACAGGTGTTAGACTTTGCATTAAAATAGGCTCTTGGTTTAAAATCTAACTGACAATGGCTTGGGACTATAATTAGTTTTCGGCTTTAATTTAATTAATTTAATAAAAAAAAAAAAAACTTACATTAAATTGCAGATGTCTAATCCTCCCCTCCCCCCAAATGTGGAAATGTGTGTGCGCGCACATTAAATGCCCTCAAAGTTTGGTGGCGTTCATCGGGGGTTAAAATACAGGTGCATTTTTATAAGAATGTTTCCTTTTTCTTTTTGTTCTAATACAACTGCGTCAGTCTGAAAAGTTGATATTTAGCATGTATATAAACTGCTTGTAGTAACAAAGTTTTAAGCCTAATCTGTGTGGTTGCATGTAACATTTTTGGGTAAACTAAATACATTTCACCTTGGCATTAGTTCCCAAACTATTTCACTGGTGGTCTGTGAAGGGCTAGTTGCATTTTTTAATTACTTCTACAGGGTTTTCATTACTTCTACTGGAAACTAGGAGGAGCCACCGGCATAGCTGTTTCCAGTAGGGGAGGATGCTACATAAAAGGATGATGAGGGCAACTGGCCTCTCAGTCAGCTTCATTCTCAGTGGTGTGTCCTTTCCCTATCAGCCAGAAGAGGCATATGCAGTGGAGAGGGAGAGGAGACAGTGGGTGTGGTGACAGAGCAATATGTGTAGGAAAGAGAATAATAGAGCAAATGGAAGGAGAGATAAATGAAGAACAAAAGTAGGCAGCTTCTTTCCTTTTTTCAAAAAAGAGAGAACACTTATTGCATTAAAGATAGTACAAGTACACAAATGGTTCTCTGATGTTAATTTGCCATGTAAATAATTGCTTAGTTGCCATAGGGATGTTATGTGATCACAAATACAGAGAAGGTCCACGATTTAAAAAAATAATAAAATTATTTTTTTGAGGGCTTTTGACCTACTGGGACAGAAAAAACAATGCTTTAAATTGAAAGCAATATATGTCCTCCATTTTTTCCTCCCTTCCCACCCGAAGCCAAAACCCCTACCCAGGTTTTAAATGTTGCTGCTGTTGTAAAATAAACTGCTCTAAATTGCAAAATCCAATGTAAAGTTGGCATTCGTTAACTCTTCCCCCCTCCCCTCCCAAATGCTTTTTCTGGTCATGCTTTGTAATCTTGCTACACTTATAAATAGTTTATAAAGAGTTAACAGTGTTGAATAGATGTTAGAAGCATGTTACAGGCATGAGTAGAATGTGTTATGGATGGTTATAACAGTTGATTAACCATTTATTGAGACATCTAGTAACTTAACTCTTTATCACACTTTATTTTAAAATGTACCCTTAATATAATCTTTCTGACTTGTCAGTAGTTATGTCCTTTTATGTTTCATATTTGTTTGTAGTGGGTATTGTAGGTGAAATCTATACTCCTGTTCATATATCAGTTGTTTTTTGGTTGGAGTTAACTTTAGTGTTCTGGGTGTTTTTGCTTTTTTCTTTATTTTGTACAAGCCTGAGTGGTACCTAACCCAGGCACTCATGTGGATTGGAAATCACGCAAAATTCCTTGATGATAAAATCCAGCCAATATTGGACAAGGCAGGCTCTTCAGTCAATGCAAGGGTAAGCAAATATGTTACAATAACTCCTCACTTAAACAACGTTAACCGGGTTGACGTTGTTTGTTATGTTGCTGATCTATTAGAGAACATGTTTGTTTAAAGTTGCGCAATATTCCCTTATGTTGTTTGGCAGCCGCCTGCTTTGTCCACTGCTTGCAGGAAGAGCAGCTGTTGGAGGTAGCTGGTGGGAGCTTGGAACCAGTGTGGGCTGGCAGCCCCCCATCAGTTCCCCTAAGTTCCCTGTGCGGCAATTGCAGGGCAGTCCAGGTGTACTTCCTCCCAATGCCATGTGCTGCCCCTGCGCTCTGCCTTGGAGCTGCTCCCAGGAGCCTCCTGCTTGCTGTGCAGGGGTAAGGGGGAAGAGGGGTGCTGATGTCAGGGTGTCCCCCTCCCCCTGCTTCTGTACCCCATCTCCACAGAGCAGGAGGGACATGACAGGATGAGGGAGCATGCTGGCAGCAGCTGCTCTCTCAACTTGCTGATCTACTAAAAAGGCAGTGTACTTAGAGTGGGGTCAGCACACTTAAAGGGGCAATGCACCTGTCTGTCTCTCTCTCTGTGTGACACACACACACACACACACACACACACACACGCCCCCGGCACTTTGGAAAGTGGAGGGAGTGGTGCGCTCCAGTGGGATAGCGTGGGTTCATCATCACGTTCAGTTTCTGCAGGGAATGTTTGCAGCCACTGCCATGCGTCTATCATGTCTCCTCCCTCCATTCGTGCTGCCTTGTATAGTGTGAGGCTACATTAACAACAGTGTGTTAACCCTTGAGGACTCAGCCGAGTGCTAGTTCATCATTTAGCAGCAAGGCATTCCCTGGGAAACATCCCACCCTCTTCCACTCTCTGATTCCACCACCTCAACCAAGCTTCACAATCATAATTGCTGTGTACAATATTAAATTGTTTGTTTAAAACTTATGTCTTTTGTCTGGTGAAAAACATTTCCCTGGAACCTAACCCCTCTTATTAACATTAATTCTTATGGAGAAATTGGATTCGCTTAACATCGTTTTGCTTAAAGTAACATTTTTTTAGGAACATAACTACAACGCTAAGCGAGGAGTTACTGTATGTGCAATTATATATACAGCCAAATTCTAGCTGTGCTGTAAGTAAGCACAACTTCATTAACCTTACTGAATTTGTGATGGGGCTGAAGTTAGTTCAGAAAGAGTTTTAAAAATGCATAAATATTAACAAATTTAACTTGCAGTTTCTATCTACTTTGGTGACTTCTGTTTTTTTTCTTGAAGCTTGAATTTTCCCGTGCTCTAGTAATGCTGATTTTGGAGAAGTTGGCTGCTGATATCCCTTGCCTATTGTATGACGATAATCTCTTTTGTCATCTCGTGGATGAGGTGCTTCTATTTGAAAGAGAGCTATACGCTACTCATGGATATCTCAGCAGCTTTCCCAGTTGCATGCATATTCTGTCAGAAGAAACCTGTTTTCAAAGGTGGCTAACTGTGGAAAGAAAATGTAAGATTTAATATGATTGGTTTTGTTTAGGCCTTCATATATTTTTCTTTAATCGTGTAATACTTACTCTACAAATAGTTCCATTAAGTTAGGATGTCACATGAATAAGGGATATTAGATCAGGCCCCTGATTTTTATACAAGACTGTCCTGTTTAGTTTTAAGACAACACTTGCTAATGCTACCATAATTGGTATGCTTGCTGCCCCTGGATTGTGGGGATTTATTCCTCAGATAACATGTCCATATTCTGTATATGTGCCTGGGTGACGGTGGGTTTTTAAATTGATGGGATAAGTTAGGAAAGAAAAATATAGTAGAAAGAAAAAGAGGTTACTAATTTTTATGGAGAAGAGTAACAGGGAAAATAGAGACAGAAGTACAGGGGAGCAAGTAAAGGACACTATAGGGAGAAAGAGACACACCAAGATCTATTATAGGGGAAAAGAGAGTGGAGTGAGTGAAAGAAGCTATAAGAAAAGCAAGAGAGATGCAGGCTTGAATGCAGAAAAGGAGCTGGGTCCCCGGGAAAATCACTACAATACACACAGCCTGAGTTGGCACATATATAGTGAATAGGGAGAGATAGATGCTGTAGTCTGTATGGTAGGCAGGGATTGTCTAAACTAGAAAGGGAGATACTGACCAGAGGTTGTTTGTGCTCAGCCCTGCCCCTTTTGCAGAGATAGGAGCCTAAGTTTGGGCTACAGGGAGTCTTCTGTTTCTACTTGCGATTCACAACCAGGAAATCTCTTTGGAGTTTCGTATCTTAGGCTGTTTTAGCAAGAAACTAGGAAGGGAGGACCACCTCCCTTATAACTTTTAGCCCAGTGATAAGGGTACTCACCTGGGATGTGGTAGACTCCTGGTTCAAGCCCTCCTTATGGGCTCTGGGATATTCTAATGTTGGGAGTCTCTCTCAATTTCCTGATGAAGCTGTTGCACTGTGGCTAAATATTTAGAGAGTCATGGCAAGGGGGAGTAGATCCTGGATCTCCCACATCCTCAGTGGATGTGCTAACCACGAGTCTATAGAGTCACTCATGCTTACACAGATGTGCGTGCGTGCATGCATGCATGCATGCTCTCCCCCTGCTCCAATGACTCTTTAAATATTCCACAGTGCAACAGCTTCAGTAGGAGAGAGTGACGAATTCCCCAAATCAGAATATCTTATAACCCAATGGTTAGAGCCCTCACCTGAGAATTGGCAGATTCCAGTTCAGATCTGTTCTTCCCTGCAGCTGGAGGGGGGACTTGTACTCGTCTGGGAGACCCCCAGTTCCCTAACCAGTGGGCTAAAAGCTATTTTGGAGGCCTGTCTCGTCTCCCTTTCCCCCCATTCTCTTGTGTAAACTTTTGAGGTCCCAATCCAATAAGTATGCTCAGAAGTTGCCTACCAGATTGGGCCACTCAGGCAAGTTAGACAGGAGAACACCTCTTTTCCCCTGGTTTATGAATTGCTCTAAGGCTAATGTGGGAGATTAGCAGCAGCACACATGCACAGAAGCAGAACTTTTACTGAAAAAACATAGGCGCCCAGTGAGTTTGGGTGCTTACAGAGTTTCAATGGGAGTCTTGTGGATCCCATTGGTCCCAAAACTGGGACTTAGGCACCTAACTCCTTTTGTGCATTCAGGCCGTAGTAAATAAAGCTGATTGAATAGTGTTCAGTGAATATATTATTTGACTTCAAGAGTATTAGTCAAATATCTGTTGTTGCAAAAGAATATTTGTACAACTTTAGCTGTATAAAGGGCTATTATATTATTTGACAGACAGGTGAAATTCATTGGCAGATATATTTGTGTAGTAGGCTACATTTAAAAAGATAATTGAGTGAAAATGTTAAGTGCAGTACCTAAAGGTTTTTTCCATTTAATTGCAGAGGTTTGGCTTTGGAGTACATGACAGCACAATGCTTTTCAGCTTGTTTTGTAGATTTAATCCTCAGGATAGTAGATGTTGGTAAATTTTCAAGCAGTGATGATGATAATAGTGTCTAAGTGTTGTATTGTAAAGAATAAGAACAGCTGAAATAGGCCATGAATTTTCTGACCCTCTTTTGGGTAAAGGAAAAATACAGCTGTACAGGGTTGATGAGTACTTTAAAAATTATGATTAGTGATGATTTTCAATAAGCTAATTTTATATTGCTCTAACATACTTCATCTTAACTGAAGCAATTGATGTTTTAATTTGCAAATTTAAGAACTGTATTTTAGTCAGTGTTACTTTTTATTAAATCTTATATTTTAGGATTCTTAAGTTTATTTAAAAATGATAGTTTATTAGAATAAATTTTAAATATGTAAACCCCAAAGCAAGTTTAAGTAAGAAATATATGAATATTTAAATTATTAAACATTTTTGTGTGCCTGTCAGTTGCTCTTCAAAAGATGGACTCTATACTTTCATCTGAAGCTGCCTGGGTATCGCAATATAAAGATATCACTGATGTAGATGAAATGAAAGTCCCAGACTGTGCTGAAACTTTTACGACTCTGTTACAGGTTATCACAGGTAATGATAAAATTTGAAACACTTCTTAAGGTGAATTCTCCTGAATACTTCAAGAACTATAATTCAATAAGAAAATATACATTAAAGTCAGTGGTTATGGAGTCCTCAAAGGAGTAAGAAGTAGAAATGTTGTTTGGTTTGCATTTTAACAAATAAATGGAATTCTTGTTGCCTTTTCCTTTGAACTTTAATGAATAATTCTAGAGATAATGATCAAACTTTTATATTTGTACTAATTTCTACAGTGATACACCTGATGATTACCATTAGAAATTTGTTTAAATTTGTAAGAAGATAAATTGAATTCATATTTGTTATTTATGTGTAAAAATTAAATAAAACAAGTCCTGTTATCTCTCTTGAGGGATTCAGCCCAGGGAATGGCTGAGTGACCAACAATGAATTCCTGAAAACGTAGATACTAACTAACTTTAGCCTTTCTACACTGTGAGTAAGAGCAGATGAACATCAAGGTGATTTTTATTTGAGTACTAAATGTGTATCTGTCACATCTTGTGGGAAGATTTGAGGTCCACCTAGTGTTAACAGACTGTTTTTCAAGTTTGCTTTCAGTAAAAAAAAAAATAAATAAATTAAATGCTATAGTGAAATCAGTAAAACAACCATTTATTTAGGCCCCAGTCCTGCAGAGATTTACATATGTGCTTAACTTTATGCACTGTAAGTAGTCCCATTGACTTCAATGGGACTACTTTTAGGGTGTAAAATTAGGCATGCATGTAAGTCTTTGCAGGAGTGTGGCCTTAGTTGTGAGGCAAGCAAAATACTTACTTTTAAAAAAAAGTTGCTGTTTTTATTTACTCTGGAAAATAAAATTTTTACAATTGTCTCTCCAGACAGGTATAAGAATCTTCCTACAGCATCTAGAAAACTACAGTTCTTGGAGTTACAAAAAGACTTAGTTGATGACTTCAGAATCCGGTTAACTCAAGTTATGAAGGAAGAGACTAGAGCTTCTTTAGCCTTCCGTTATTGTGCCATTCTTAATGCTGTTAACTATATAGCAACAGTATTAGCAGACTGGGCTGACAATGTTGTGAGTAATTATTGTTTTACATAAAGAAATAAACTAGCTTTGTCTTGTGGTGCTCAACTAAAACCACTTCATTCATCTCAATATCTTAAAATGCAGAATTAATGATGAATCCTGAAAAACAGAACCAGATGTAAATTCTAATTCAGTGAAAGATGCTTAATTTAAGGATAAATTACTACTTATAATTTAAACAGTGCTTAAATAATGCCATTTTTGTGCACTGTATCAAAACACCTAAAGCAGACTAGTTTCCTGTAAACTGGCACTGCACCAGGGCCATTCTGCAGCATCTTGTTACATGGGATACCACCTAGGGATCCTATTCTGTTAACCCTTACATGAGTAGTCTGGTAGAAGTCAATGAGACTGCTCATGTGTAAGATTTGTAGGAGTGGTCACTTTCCCAGGAAACAGGGTGAATCTAGTAGGGGAAGGATTATTTCACCCTTTATGTTTAGAGCTATACTTCACTCTTACAGCCAACAGTCGTCCTCCTCCTCCTCCTACTTGTAGCCTACCACCTGCAGAATGCTCCGTTACCTGTAAAAAGAAAGCACCATTGTGTCACACTAACCTTAGCTAATTTTCTTGCCTCAGTCAGCCCAGGAAGCAAGAATCCCAGACTATGCTATACTCAGCATACTAAAATGTATCTAAAACCTATAGTCAATATGCTAAATCTCCAGGTCAACCTATCTTTCTGGTTAATGATCCATTGCTTCTAAATATATGAGGATTTTAATTTTTAGGATTTTTTTCTGCTGAAGCATATTTGCTTGGTTTTTTTCTTCTTGCTCTTAAGTATCTTTACCTAATGCCATAAGATATTACTTTCAGCACACATCTATGCACCTATAGTTGATAGTGAGTTGCTGATCCTTCATGTAAAATTGAGAAGCCAGACACATCTGACAGCCAGGTCTGTGTGGATTTGGCTAGCCATGAGAGTATGCTTTGTTTTACCTACCTACAAACCCTGATTCTATATTGGGGTCTGCTAGTGGAGACCTGTGCGGATCCCTATTAACCTCAGTGGGGGCTCTCCATGGCCTCGGAGGTTTGCGGTAGTGTGTCCTAATTCAGAATCCAAGCCTGTTTCTGTATCTTTAAGTATGCAACTTAATTAATGAATACCTGTTAAAATAAATGATTAACTAAAAAACTAGAAATGTTGAAATTCAGTGCTTATTATGCTAGATCTAACATGTATGTAGCCACTATCACCATAATATGAACACTTCCATTTAATTTTCTTTCTTTATAAAATTTAATTCAGAAACTTTTTTTTTTTAAGTTAAGGAAACATTTATTAAAATTTAAATGCTATCCAAGTCTTGTAGTTTTTTCTTAGTATGTTAAAAATGGAATGTCTGTCAGACTTTGCAGAAATCAGAGAATTGAGATTTTTGGGTAAAATTTTCAAAGCACCTAAGTCTCATTTTCAAAAGTGACTCAGGTAATTAGAAGCACAAAATTCCATTGAACTTCGGAAAATGGAATTTAGGAGCTTATGTCACTTAGGCCAGAAGAAAATTTGACCCTTCAGCTTGTTTTTTAAATTATTTTTTAGTACTATTGTGAAGTAAGATGGGATACAACAGCTTTCTATTTCCATCACTGGGTTTAAAACACTATACTCATTTGGGGACAATAGAATTACCAGATTTTTTTTTTTTTTAATCGCTTCTCTTTGAAAACAAATTGTTAGTTTATAAAAACCTTAGGGAAACACATTATCAGATGAAGCTATGCATATTAAAGTACAAATAAAAAGTTAACATGGTAGAAACCTTTTTGCTCTAGTATTTATATCCAAATCTGTTTGTTTCTGTAGTTCTTCTTGGAGCTTCAGCAGGCTGCGCTGGAGGTTTGTGCAGACAGTAATGCTCTCAGTAAGCTACAGCTAGGACAGTTAGCTTGTATGGAAAGCTCTGTCTTTGATGACATGATTAACCTCCTAGAACGCCTAAAACATGATATGTTGACCCGCCAAGTAGACCATGTCTTCCGGGAGGTCAAAGATGCTGCAAAACTGTACAAAAAAGAGAGGTGAGTCTTTGTGTTAACGTCTTCTAATAATTTGTTATAAAATGTTAAGACTTGGCAAAAACTATCTAATGTAAAAATCCATTTCTATGAATGAAATGAGATAGATGTAAATTGTTTGGAAAGTGGTGCCTGTGGTATTTCTTCACAATTCTTTAAAAAAAAAAAAAAAATGTTTTTAACTAGATTGGGCTTTTCTAAAGCACAGTCCTGCAAATAGTGGAGGTACACTGCAGCAGGACTCCCAGAAGAAATTCTTCTTCTTCGAGTGATTGCTCATGTGTATTCCACAGTAGGTGTGCGTGCTTGCCACGTGCACCGGTGCCAGAAGTTTTTCCCTTAGCAGTACCCGTAGTGGGGGAGCCCCGCTGCAACCCCTGGAGTGGCGCCTCTATATTGCGCCATAAAGGGGGCTGTGCGCTCCCCACACCCTCAGTTCCTTCTTGCCACCAGTGAAGGTAGTCGGAACTTGTGCTCCAGCATTGCTGTAGCTTCTATCCTTGGTAGTACCTCGACTGTTACTAGTTTCTGCAGTTAGTAGCCTGGCCCGGGGCATGCCATAGCTTCAAGTCGACGCTTCCTGTCCCAGCGCCTGCGGCCCCTGTGGGTCGAGGAAGACTCCGGTGACTCACTCCCAGGCGACCCCGACAACGGAGTGCAGGTCTGTCGCGGGCTACGGGAAGGCCCGGCGGATCGAGTAGAGACGTCGACCGCCGACCTGGCCGGTGAGGGCTGGTGAGCGCCCAACGGCGGCTTCCCTCGGGACCGGGGCCCCAGCTCGGGCGGCCCGCTCGGTACCGGCGTGACAAGGATGTCGCGCGCTGCCTGGGCTGCCTCCGGTGTTGATGGAACCCTCGTCATTAGGGAGGCACGTACAGACGGGGCTGGACTACTCCGCTCCGCTCGAGTCGGAGGCCTGGGTCCCGAGGGGGATCGTGGGCTGCCCAACTCGGGTCCGGCCTCACCCCTGTCCTTGTCTCGGCGCCGCTGGGTCTTGCCTTGCTTCTTGGCAGGGGAGCGGTGCTGACTGGTGGATGGGGCTTCCCTCCGCACCGAGGATGTGGTGCCCGGCGCCGGGGCCAATGCCGACTCCATAAGCAGGGCCCGAAGTCGGATTTCGCATTCGTGCTTAGTCCGGGGCTTGAAGGACTTACAGATTTTACACCGGTCACTTATGTGAGCCTTGCCCAGACAGCGAAGACACTCGGAGTGTGGATCGCTTCTGGGCATGGAATTGCAACAGGAGTCGCACGACTTGAAGCCTGGGGCTCGGGGCATGCTTTCAGATAGTTGAAAGCAGCTATCAGATCCCCCCTCATTCTTCTCTTCTGCAGACTAAACAATCCCAGTCCCCTCTCCTCATAAGTCATGTGCTCCAGTCCCCTTCCTATTTGTTGCCCTCCGCTGGAATGTAATGGGTGGGGTTGACGGTTGGTCACCTAAGGGCAGGGCAGTAGAGTTCAAACCGATGACCAGAGAGGCGAGAACAGGCATTGTGGGATACCTCCCGGAGGCCAATCTCTGTACTGTAATTGCCACCGTGTCTACACTGGCACCGCAGGACTGTAGCCCTGGCGCAGAAAGCTCTACGTCTCTCGTTGGGTTTTTTTTTTTTTTTTAATAGCGTTGCAACTGCACAGTTCTTGCGCACTAAATGGCTTGGCAGTGTGTACACCTCAAAGCTGCTTTAGTGGTCAGAAACTTGCCAGAGTAGATGGGGCCTAAGGTGGAGATGAATTGGGCACGTCCCAGTTTTTCCAATAGTTCATCTGTGCGTAGCATTGGATAGCTCTCTGGGTGAGTTACAGCATTTAGGTTATGGTAGTCCACGCAAAAGCGGATTTCCCCATCTGGTTTGGGAACCAGAACCACTGGAGAGGCCCATGCACTGTCAGAGGGGCAGATTACACCCATCTGTAAACCGTCCTTGATCTTCCTTTCTATCGCGGTTTTTGCTTGAGGACCCATCTGGTAGGGCTGGGCTCTAATTGGGTGAGCATCTGCTGTGTCAATGGAGTGGTACGCCCGTTCTGTCCATCCTGGGATGGCTGAAAACATTGGCACGAAGCTGGTGCACAGCTCCTAGATTTGCTGTCGCTGCTTATGCCCAAGGGTTATGGAAAGGCTCACCTCTTCTACGCCACCGTTCCTTTTCCCTTCATAACAGACTCCTTCAGGCCACTCAGCATTGTCTCTCTCTTGGGCTATAAGCTGGAGAACCTTGATTTCTGGGGAATAAAAGGGCTTTAGAGAGTTAACATGGTATACTTTAAGTTTTAGGGTAGGGTCCAGGAACGCTATGAGGTAATTAACAGCTCCCAGATGCTCTTGGACCATAAATGGCCCCTCCCACGACGCTTCCATCTTATTGGCCTGGAGTGCTTTCAGGACGATGACTTGGTCACCTACACTGAAGGAACACTCTCTGGCATGTTTATCATACCAGGCCTTTTGCTCTTGTTGAGCATCCTGTAGGTTTTCTCAAGCAAGGGCTAGAGAGTCTTTGAGGGTGTTTTTTGCAGGTTGGTTACAAAGTCCAAAATGTTAGTTCCTGGAGAAGATGTAACTCAGCCCTCCCCCATAGCCATAAACGAGTTCAAAGGGTGAAAACCCTAAACTGGGACGTGGTACAGCCCTGTAGGCAAAAAGCAACTGCTGCAACACTAGGTCCCAATCATTGGAGTGCTTATTCATGAATTTACATATCAAAAATGTAACTATGAATACTTGCTTCTGGGTAAAATTGGTAGGCCGCTTTCTAAAATAAATGCTCTTTTCTGATTTGTTTCTACGCATTTGGAGTCGTGTCCCCCCGTCCCCCCCTGATTTCTGGTGTCTTATCTTGCATTCCTTTAATTAAAATATAGCCTTGATATTATTAGAAGGATACTTGCTGTATAGCAGGGGTTCTCAAACTGGAGGTTGGGACTTCTCAGGGTCACTAGGTTATTATATGGGGCGGGGGTGAGCTGTCAGCCTGCACCCCAAACCCTGCTTTGCATCCAGCATTTATAATGGTGTTAAATATATAAAAAAGTGTTTTTAATTTATAAGGGGGGGTCGCACTCAGAGGCTTGCTACGTGAAAGGGGTCACCAGTACAAAAGTTTGAGAACCACTGGTGTAGAGTATTAATCCATAATGCGGACTGATCTTTTCTGGATATTTGAGAAAGTGGAGGGGTAGCCGAAACCTAAGAAAATTAAAAATGGATGAGATGGTGGACTTTTGAAAAAGATGAGCTTCATTGCTACTGCTTTTCTGTGAATAACTTTACTGTAACATCGTGTTGTACATCTGTTTCTTCAGGTGGTTATCTTTGCCATCCCAGGCAGAGCAGGCAGTAATGTCCTTATCCAGTACAGCTTGCCCACTGTTGTTGACATTAAGAGATCGTTTGCTGCAGTTAGAACAGCAGCTCTGTTACTCGCTGTTTAAAATCTTCTGGCAAATGCTTGCAGAGAAAGTGGATATGTTCATCTATCAAGAGGTAAGCATCTGCAGTTGTGATATGTGCTGTGACAATGAAAGTGCAATTGATTTACCTAAATTAACTTATTTCATCTGTTTGCATACATATGTAGGTAATTCTGGCTAATCACTTCAATGAAGGAGGAGCAGCACAACTTCAGTTTGATATGACTAGGAATCTTTTCCCTTTATTTTCCCACTATTGCAAAAGGCCAGAAAATTATTTCAAACAGTAAGTAAGCCAATTTCTAAAATATTAGTATTTCAGTAGCGAGTATCCAACTGATCATACCAAGTTCTTACATTGTGTATAAATCAGCATCTTTCATGGTTGCAGCTTGGATTAATTGGGTGAGAAATCTGTTAAAATTATGGTGTTGAAAGTGGAGAGAATCTGTACCACTACATCAGGTATGATCCTGCAGTTCATACTTAAGCAAAGCTCCCATTGTCTCTGTGGTTCTTACAGGTTAGTAGTGGATTGTTTGTTACACACAGACTTGCACTTTTAGGGAAAATGGGATGGTAAAGCATGTAAACAGCACAAGAAGCCATAGCAGGACAAACCATCAAGAAACAAGGACTAAGGGTGCAGTGCTGTGATTCCTACTAAGGCTAATTGCCCTACAAAGTCAAATAGGATTTCAGCCTGAATAAAGAGTGCAGGAGTGGGTCCAGAAATGTTTAAAGATGAAGGTGACACATTGGTACTACAATAATACTCAAATGGAAGATGCTTTATTTGTTGAGGCTTTTGAAGTACTTCTCCAACATTAAGCTTTACACTCCCTTCATGTGTATTATCCCCATTTATAATGGGAAAGTGTAGGCACAGAAAAATACAGTTACAGGGCATCTTATTGCTTTTTGATTACTTCTGACAAGGAATGTGTTCAAATTTCAGCAGTTGTTACCTATATGTCATACTGTGTTCTTTAAGTATACTGAATGAGAAGGTAGTTCATCTTGCTTTCCTGCTTAACTTTTTACCAGTATTAAAATGTGAAAAAGTATTGGCTTTTATTACTTTACTCCATGGGGAAACTAGAGTTTAAAAAAACAAATGCAAGGACCTGGGTAATTGGAAGCACTATATGTCAGAAATGGTGGTTATACTCACATTTGTCTCACTGAAAACAATGAAGACATTAAGGTAGATGTCTACTATAGATCTTGAAAGCTGTAGCTGCATTATCTTTTCAGTTCAGGTTTTGTCTTTTCAGCTATCCAGAAAGGGGAGGTTATTCTTAGTATTTTATTAATGGGATAAACAAAAAAACCACAGACTGAATATACTGTGTCCTGGCATGAAGTTGAAATGGGCACTCTCTTCATTTCAGGCAGTAAAATGTGTGTATTTTTTCCTCTTATAGCATAAAAGAAGCCTGCATTATCTTGAATCTAAATGTTGGCTCTGCCCTCCTTTTGAAAGATGCACTGCATTCAGCCTCAGAAAATGGAACTATCTTGGATCCAAACCAGCCCTCTGCCACAGCAGTGTTAAATGAACTTGGAGTTTACAAATTAGCTCAACAGGATGTTGAGATTTTACTTAATTTGAGAACAAACTGGCCTAATATAGGAAAATAAGTAAAGATCTTCAAGGAAAATGGTTAGAAGTAAAATATCTGTTCTAGGTTATTTATCTGAATAAAGGTGAAGTCAAGCTATTACATTAGTATACTTTTATTGTATATTCGTTTAAAAAAAAAAAAAAAAAAAACAAACAGACCGACCACTAGTACATCTTCGTAAAATGCTGACTTGATCTAGCCTTATGCCTTAATCTTTTTATAATTCAGATTATATGTTGTACATAGCCATTTTAAAACAGTTGAGATACTGAACTGGTTTCTAAGCTGGTATAGTTTAGTCAAATCTGTTTTAATCACGTTTAACTTTGCCTGTTTTGTAACTACCCCCAGCCTAGAGGCCTGTAGAGCACAGCAGGCTCAGATCTAGAGTGGAGAATGTGTTCCTTGTTGAATAGTATCAGGGGGTAGCCGTGTTAGTCTATATCTATAAAAACAACAAGGAGTCTGGTGGCACCTTAAAGACTAACAGATTTATTTGGGCATAAGCTTTCGTGGGTAAAAACCTCACTTCTTCGGATGCATCTGAAGAAGTGAGGTTTTTACCCACGAAAGCTTATGCCCACCAGACTCCTTGTTGAATAGTGAGTGATCTGTTTAGTTGATGGCTGTAAGGCGATAATGGTTATTCTGAAGAAACTTTTATGGTTTAGAGTAATATGGAGTAAACTCTGGGTATATATGCTACTTCATTCAGTGGTAAACATTCCATTCAAATTGGTGCTTTCTCATTTTGGTATATGGACAGTTATGTACATAAATTCCCACACATGGACATTACATACTTGAATGTGTGTGCAGGGGGTGTGGAATGAGGTGAAAGCATGTGTCCATGTTCTATTTTCTCTGATCATGCTAACTTTTAAAACTAAGTCCTGTTATGGAAACTTCAGAATTGTCTCTTCCTTGAATGTCCAAATCCTTTGTCCTCTTTAAAATGTTCTGAACAGGCCTTGCATACTTTGTGACTAGTAAACTTGTTTAAAAATGCCATCACAACTGATTCAGTTATTGAAATATTATGTATTTCAAATTGCTTATGTTTGGAAATAATGGGTTTGTTGGAATTTGGGTATCTTCTCCAGGTTGTTTAAAACTTGTCCCCCCCACCCCCACCCCCAAGAGTGTTAAAGAAATATCTGACTTTAAAATAAACTTTCAATGCCATAATGGCTGCTGTTTGTTGCATACTAGAACCACATTTTGTTGGTTCAAATGTAAAGCTATTTCTGTACAAGTGTCAAAGTATTGCCTTGAGCTACTCTGATTAAGTCATTTTTTATCACTGTATGGCCCCAAAACATTCTTGCTAGGGAAGATGTTGATACACAGCATCTTTTTAATGTTATACTGTTTTGAATTTTTTTTCTAAAGGAAGTCCTCAAAAGATGTTCCTCTGGTGTAATGAGTAGTTTCTGATTGATTTAAACTAGTACCATATAATTCAACTTTTTACATACTATGCTGATGCTTCTCAGTTTATTTTTGGATAAGTGAAACTATCAGTTGCCAAAAGGCAATTAAAATAAAAACAAACTCAAAGATAAGACTTCAGAAAAAATTTTACTTTTAGCAGACAGCTGCTTAAGATTGATATATTGCCCAGCTCTCCTGCAACTTCTTCTTTCTATAGAAGAAAAGAAATGTAGTTAGATGTTCTGTAAACACTCTGTAAACAATTTGTTCGTTACACATGAGATTTCAATATAGAATTTTCTTCAGTACATAGTGTTCTTATCCCTTCCCAAACCACCACAGTTATTCTCCATCATATGTGGGAAGTAAAGATGGACTTGTGTGCTAGACTTAGTTACCCAGTTCTCATTTACAAATAACAATCTAGTTTTCCAATTCTGTACCCCTCCTCCCAAACAAACACAAACATGCCAAACTGAAGCTGAAGATACTTATTACATTTGAGGGGGTTTTTGGTATACTCTCCCCTTCCCAAATGTGTGCTTGGGATATGGGGAACTTGTACAGGCTCAAAACAGGCATTAGGCTCTACACAATTGTCCAGGCTGCCTTGCTTGCCAGTCCACCCCTATGGCTTCTCCTGATCCTTGGCTGTAAACTGGACTCCAGCTCTGGCATCCTAATTTCCTGCTGCCTACATCTATGAAACAAGGCAGAGACTGCACTGTAACTCAAATAATTTGCCTTTGTAGAGAAAGAGAGAGCAAGAGGCAGGTTCTACAGGACAGAGATGGGGAAACAAAATGCTGGTCATCTGCAACCAGCAAAATGCCAAATTCAGTGCAGAAATGCTCAATTCTTTGGTCTTTTTGGAAAAATGCCAATTTGCATAGCCTTGATAGCAAGAGTCCATAGGGTTTTGAAATGAATGGGGGAAATTAATTCCTCTAATTGTATCAGGTGCTAAGCAGGCAGGTGACACTGCATTGGTTATGCTTAGTTCATGTTTTCAAGGTTCTCTTTTTGCTCATAATTTAAATGCTGAGATTCTGGAGCACAACTCCAGAATCTCAGCATCCAGCTCCACAGCCAGTGAATTTGCTGCATTGAATAGACAGAGCCCTGATTAAAATGTTGGTCCAAACCACACAAATTTTATTGGCTCAGTTGCTGGTGTATTGGTTGTTCTAATTTAAAAAAAAAAAATTAAATTACCAGGTTGCCTATAAAATACAGTAGTAGTTTTAACTAGATAATACTGAGGCTTTATATATTGACCGAGTATACCACCCCTTATGGTTAATTATAACTGAAAGGTTTATCACTGTAGTCAAACACAGATGCTCCGGTGTATAGGAGGAGATTACCAGCACTACTCTGTATCCCCAGATATTTATTCTGATCAATTCCCTGCGGTATTGATTTCTGATATTTGCGATATTTTCCCAAGTAGCAATGTCAGTCGGTAAAATTTTTTAATGCAAGTGTCATTTCCACATATAGCTTCCAAGGAGACTGCTTTCAGAGATGACAAGAAAATCACTGCTGCTGTGCAGTCGGTACAAATACTCTTTAGAGCGAACAGTGGCACCAATAGCAAAATATCTGACCTACTCGTGGAAATATTATCACTTTCAGAACTGTGAACTTTTTTGCTAGTGCTCCCCAGGGTACCCCATAAATTAGAACATTATATTTTTAAACTTTTCCCCAGTCTATCACTACTCATTTATTATGATCCACCTCACAGGGAAAACCAAATGTAATCCAATCACTTCTAGTTTAAATTGGACTTTATAGTGACATTGTTATTCTTTAACATAATTAAAGGGTATGAACATAAGGTGACAAGTGCCTGATATTCAAACTGAAGTCGAGCAGCTGTGACTATTGGGTACTTTGTAGATTTAAGACCTGATTAAAAAAGTAATATTAAAAAGCATAATGATATTTTTAGAAACAGCTTAATACAAGAATTCATGCAATTAAAATTAGCTACAAATCTTTCTCTTCCACATAAAGCCAAAGAGTAAAAATGTCACTTTACTTACACTTCTTTCTTGAATATTTCCAGTGTGATAGTTGCATCTTCTTCATAAGGTAAATCCTGAGTACTTAGCCCCAAGCTTGTAAGAGCTACAAAGGTTTTTAAAAAAGAGAATCCTTTTAAACCTTCCAATGCAAGCCCACAGAAGTCTAATTTTACATCCAAAAATTCTGACCCGGTGCCGCTGCCACCCCAGAGCCGCTCCAGGTAAGCGGCCCTAGGCCGGAGCCCATACCCCAAACCCCTCCTGCCGCACCCCAACCCCCGCCGCACCCTGCACCTCTCCTGCACCCCAACAACCTGCCCTGAGCCCCTGCTGCACTCCTGCACTCCAACTCCCTTCCCTGAACCCCCTTGTACACCAACACCCCTCCTCTGCCCCAACCCCCTGCCCCAGCCTTACATTCATGGCTCTGCATATGCAATTTCCCCACCCAGATGTGGCCCTCAGGCCAAAACATTTGCCCACCCTGATCTAGCTGGTAAACAGAATATAACTTTTTAAAGTTGCTAACTCTACTGTAGATTATTTTTAGAACTTCTTGGTCAAATATTGTGTACAAGAGCCAGGGGGTGGAGAGGAAGGTCTCTCTCTTGTTTTGCTTAATAAAAAGAGTTTTGCAACAAGTAAATTGTTTTTCTATCACTGCTAAATTCTGATGGGTTGAGAAATTTCTTTAATGAAACTATCTCACATTCTTTTGAGCAACAACCTTGCATATTATAGCTTAAATGTTCTGTGCTGTATTAAATAAAAAATCCATCTTAATTAAAAAAATGCTAAGCAAGGAAGACAAACCTCCTTTGTACTGCACTAAGGTTATATAGCCTTGACTTGTAGTGTCCAGCATTTCAAACATAGCATCCAAATTTGATTCATCCACAAGATAAGGATATTCCACATCAGTTAGTTTTACAAGCTTCACTCTTTCCAGTGCATGTATCAAAAACTCTCTTGGTCTTTCTGTAAAAGAATAAAGTTAACAAATCTTGTTGATAGTATACATTTTTTAAACTAGGTTTACTAATTCTTACCATTAAATGCAAAAACAGTGAATTACAGTACAGTAGGATTTATTTTGTTTTTACCCATAGTGCACTAGCAGTGTAACTTCACTGAATATACACTAGTGTAAAAATAAATGTAATCTAGTTATTAGTTAATTCTTCAACCCTAAAATTAATGCAAATTTTTCTATAAATATTAAGTTTCTGACAATCTCAAGGAAATACAAGTTATGGCAAAACCATTTGTTCTGTGTGCACCATCATGCAAGTTCAAGTCTCATATCAGATTCAATGCTAACAACAGAATAGGAAGGGGCTGCTATACTATTAAAGGTTATCTTCCATTGGATGCTGTGTTAAAAAGTGCAGTCTCTCCAGGTTATGATTTAAGGTGCTGTAGCAGTTAATGAAATGGGTGAGGAACAAATAGGTGTTCATATACTATACCGCTGAATGCTCTGATTAATTACCTATAAATAAACCAGCTGCTGGTTGTCAACCACTGTTCCACCTCTCGGTAAAACAGATTCTAATATCCAAGGCTCATGTGAGCAATTGTTGTGTGTATGTTAGCTGCCACATTTGATTAAAGGCCCTGAATTTAATG